GAAGGGAGGGCAGAGGTATGGGGAAAAAAATGAGAATCAAGACTTGCCATGTAAAGGTACATGATCCCAACAATGAATGTAACTGTACTGTATCCCTAAATGTACCAATAAACTCAATTAAAAAAAAAAAAGATTCAGTTGGTTTTAACTCAGGGAAGCAGCACCGTAATATTAAACATTTTCTTAGTACTCTCAGCTTTCCATATCTATGGGTTCTGCATCTGTGCTTCAACAGCCTCAGGTCAGAAGGACTCAGAAAAATATTCCTTCTGTACTGAACAAATACAGACTTTTTTCCTTGTCATTATTCCCTAAATAGTACAATATAGCAGTTATTTACATCATATTTAAACTGTATTAGTTATTATAAGTAATCTAGAGATGATTTACAGATTTACAGGAAGATATACATGTTATATTCAACTAGTACACCATTATATATGGTACCTAAGCATCTATGGATTTTGTTATTGCAAGAAATTCTAAAACCAATACCCCAGGGATCCTAGTATACCTGGAACTGAACTTTCTATCTGTAAGTCTCTGAGCTCTGTGCTGAGAGCAAGACAAAGATGAACACAACATAATTCACTACCTCAAGAATTCAAAACTCCAGTAGGAAATAAGACATTTTTATATACAAATAATATTAAAGCAGGTTGTAATATATATTGCGTTTGAGATATTACTATACTATTTTGCAAATAAAATGGTAAGATAGGAATTGAATGTTCAGCATGATGATTTTTGAAGTGGGGTGAGCTTTGCATTGGAAATGTTGAACAGGCTGTTAAAAATGTATATTTAGAACACAAGACAGCCTGATGTGGCAGATTTTAAAAGGAAGAAAATACCAGAATGGAGGAAAGCTATGAATAAAGAAAAGTATTAAAGTGCTAAGAAATTGTGCTGATAAATAAGGAAAAAAATGTGTTAAGAGGGCAATAGAGAAGGTGCGACATGGTTCATTGTGCCTTCCCTTAAAGATAGGTTGCCCACTCTATGGCTATAATTGCTTCTGATAATCCCAGAGCTTCACTGTCTTCCCATGTACTTAGGAGACTTCAGTATGTGTAATTATGTGTATTTGTGTGATACTTTGACATTCTGTAAATGCTTTCACATGGACGTTCTTATTTGGCTATCATAATAATCTATATGAACTGTAGAGGTGTTATGTTCCCTATGTTAGGAGTAAACAGAAAATAAGAAATTAAGTGTATTTAGCAAGTTCATAGAGTGAACTTATGACCCATGTTTGAGCTAGTGTGTCTGACACCAGTTGCACAATCTTGGGCAAAATTCTCTGATCCTCAAAACTTGTATCAGTGACATTCAGATAATAATTAATAAGAAGACTGTTATTGTGAGAATCTAAAGTTTTGCCACTGCTGAGCATTAAAGCATTTTCACTATTTCAAATTTACCATGCAGAAATGTAAGAAAAAAATCCACAAACTGAGTCATTACATTTATTACCTTTATATGTCCCTGTGAATAATTTTTAATAAACCATGTATAGATTTTTAGTAACTGATACTTTATACTGTACCTATTAATTGATAAAAATTATAATTGTAGGATACAGCAGTGTTTAGCTTTAAAATGTCTACTGTTGGCATTGTCCTTCTGATAATTGGCAAGTTACAGATTGATTCATAAATCTCTTCCATTTAACCTGTCTTTTAGATAGGTTCTGTATTTAGGTAATTTCCTACTGATACTTACACATGATGTTTGAAGTGATTAGATGTGCAATGGTTAAGTTTTGAATTATATTTTTAATATCTTGATGTGCTGAATATCCCTACAATGATATCTTCTAGGTTCATTGAATTGGTAAGAGGACTCATAAAACTCAGTATTTATCATACCTGTGGCTGTGATTTATTACAGTGAAAAGACACAAAGCATAATCCACAGAAGGAAGGCTCCAAGTGATATCCATAGAAAATGAGAAGCAGTTTTTTAGTTTTCTCCCTAGTAAGTCACACAGGACATGCTTAGTTTTGTCAGCAACAGGTTGTAATTGCATGTTGAGATAATGTCTACAAGGATATGTTTCATTAACAACTCAGGCCCAGGACAGCTTTATAATCAGGCCTTTCTAAAATTAGCAGTCTCCTACTTGCTTTATTATCTCTTTTCTATTTACTTGGCATTTTTAATTATGTAATTCATTAAATGTTTATGGAATTCTTGTTATGTAAATAGCAGTATGTTAGGCAAGGGGCATGTAGTCATATATTTGCCATATTCTCAGAAAGTTTGAGAGATAAGTGGGCAAGATGAAATCTTTACTGAAATTTAAGGTAAACACTCATAAACAAATACAGTAGTTTACTATGGCTTTTGTGACTAATTACCACAAAGTTCATGGCATAAAACAACAAATTTAATTTGAAGGCCATAAATTCATAAACATTATCACTGAGCCCAAATCAAAGTATCAGTAAGGTCAGGCTCCCTCCTGAGGATATAGAGAAGAATCAACACCTTGCCTATTCCATCTCCTGGTGTCTAGAGCATTTCTTGGCTTAGTCCCTCTGTGTCAGATAACCTTTTCCTTTCCTACATATGGAATCTACCTCTACCTTTTTTCCCCTAAGGGCATTTGTGATTATATTTATGTCTCATCCAGATAATTCATGGTGTCTTCCTCATTTCAACATCCTTCGTAAATTAATCATTTCTGCAACATCCTTTTTTTTTTTTTTTTTTTTAAGGTAGTGGGAGTTGAACCTAGGGCCTTTGCACTGCCTGAGCTATATCAGTTATTTTGAGAAGAATCTTGCTAAGGTGCCCATGATGGGCTCCAACTTCCAGTCTTTTTGTCTTATCTTGCTAGAGTACTGGGATCACAGGCATGTACACCATGCCCAGTTTAAGATTCTATTTTCTTTTTTTTCTTTTTTGGTACTGGGGATTGAACTCAGGACCTTGAGCTTGCGAGGCAGGCAGCGGAACCACTGAGCTGAATCCCCAGCCTTAAGATCCTGTTTTCTTGTAAAGGGAGCTTTTCCATTGCTGATACAAAATACTTGACACCCATAACTTAAAGGAAGAGAAGTTTATTTTTGGCTCATAGTCACAGATGTTTCAGCCTGGGTTTACCTGGCTCCAAGGCAGAAACAGCATGGCAGGAGAGCATAGAAGAATGCTGTTCAAGTCGTGGCAATCAGAAAGGACAGAGCAAGGGAAAACCAGAGAAGAAGAGGTCAGGAACCAGATACAGCTATAATTCCCAAGGTTAAATGCCCAGGACCCACTTCCTCCAAAAAGACTGTCTACTTCCTTATAGCCATTCATCTATAAAGTTCATGATTTAACCTGTTGATGCAGTTAGTGTCGTCATGATTGAGTAGTCTCTTCCGGGGTTTCTTAATCCAGTCAAATTGACAATCAAGATTAAACAGCAGTGTTAGGGATTTGGACCTGATATGTTTTGATGCATTATTCAGGCTAATACAAAGAGCGATTTTTAAAACTTCCATGGAGTATAAAAATATAAAGACCACATACAGGAAGAATCATGAAAATTTCTTAATAAGTGGTCGGTACTATTTATGTATGATGCTATTCACTGTAGGCTATTCATACATAATGAAAACTGAGTATTCAATGTAGGAAAATGGATACACCTTGAAGCCATAGGGGGATGGGGAAAAATAAGAATTGAGATATATGATGTAAAGTTACAGACTCCCAATTATGAATGTCATCATATTGTATACCTAAAATGTACCAATAAACTTAATGAATAAAAGAGATACATAATAGGAGTATGGAAAGTATCTTTCTCAAAGGGGAATGGGGAAAAAAATAAGAACCAAGATAGATTATATAAAGGTGCAAATTTCCAATGATGAATGTCATATTGTATACCTAAAATATACCAATAAAATTAAAATAAACCTTGCTGGGTATCTTGCCCCAAAAGTTAGGAGAATCATACCACAGTGACATATGTGCACCCATGTTCATAGCAGCACAATTTGTAATAGCTAAAACTTGGAGGCAGCCCATTTTCCCATCAACTAGAGAATTGATAAAGAAAATGTGCTTTTTTAATAAAATGAAGTATTACTCAGCCACAAAAAATGAGAAATCTATAGCTAAATGGATTCACATTGAGGCAGTACTCTTTTTTTGTTGTTGTCGTTTTTGAGACAGGGTCTCACTATATAGCCCAGGTTGGTCTTGACCTCACAGTGATCCTCCTGAGTTCTGGGATTAAAGGTGTGAGCCACCACACCCAGTGAGGCAATACTCTTAAGTGAAATAAATAGGACAAATGTGTAAATACCAAATAGTTTCTCTGGTGTGAGAAACTGAAAGTGTAAATAAGGACTAAAAGGTGTAATAGATAATGTGAAATGGAAAGAAAAGAGGAAAGGGGAAGGGGAAATGAGGGGGTAGAGGAATGGAAAGAAGGGAATGAAATTAAATAAGAAAATGAAAAAAATGGAAAAAAAGTCTTTGTAAATAGGGAGGTATGGAGGGGTTGAAGGGAAAGCAGGGGAATGGGGAAAAATATAAGAACCAAGATAGATTATGTAAAGATGCAAATTTCCAATGATGAATGTCATTATGTTATATACCTAAAATGTACTAATAAAATTAAATTTTAAAAAAGAAAGAAATGGAGGGGGAAGGGAAGGAGGGGAGGGAAAAGGATGACAAAAGGAATGAAGAAGATTGATGTACATTCACCATCTCCATACAAGGAAAAAAAAACATGGACTGCAAACATGGGCTAATAAAAAATCATAGTAAGTTCATATGTTGGTAGTCCACGTGGATAAAAATTATCTTACAGAGAGCGGGGGATCTAGCTCAGTGGTTCTACCACCTGCCTCGCAAGCGCAAGGTCCCAAGTTTGATCCTTTTTTCTGTAAGATAATATTTTGGGGGGGTTATTGGGGATCAAACTCGGATCCTTGCGCTTGTGAGGCAAGCAGCAGAACCACTGAGCTAGATCCCCAGCTCAAAAATAAATGTTAGATCAAAATCATATGTTTGGCTATAGTTTTATAAAAGCATATGAGTATATGGACCTGTATCTATTAAAGATTTTGCAAAGATGTATTTTAAAGATGTTCATTGAGGAGAAAGTTTTTAAAAATTATTTTCTCCTTTGGAATACTGTTTCTATTTTTATATTTTAGTTTAAACATGTTTTGTTTATATTTAGAAAAATGTTTACTTTTAGAGTAGATTTGTTAGAAGAAATAGCACTTGAGACATAGTCTTTTGAATAACTAATGATGAATTAGAGGTAGGGTAAGGGATATAAAGGAAGATAACATAATGTGTGGAGACACATGACCTTAGTAATATAGTAAGCCTTGGAATGCCATTTTAATTCATTTCGGGGTCTGTGTACTCTAAAGTCTGGACAGTTTATATAATTCATTCATGAAAGACCTTTAGAAGATAATGTATCAGACATGATTGTAATTATGTGAACATTCCTGATACTAGGAGTTCTGTAATGTATCCAATTTGAATAATCATATTATGTATATACTTAACAGCATTTGTATAATCTGTTTTTTAGCTACTGATAATTTATCATTTCTTTCAATTACAGTGATTTACAAGGAGTAAGAACAAATGCCAAAAAAGATGGAAGTGATTGGATTCTCAATGGAAGCAAGGTGTGTAAAGAGGGACTTTCTAGTATAATACTAATAGGACTAATACCTCAGATATTACTCATTATTGAATCTAATGAACCTAAGGACTCACACAGAAATTACTTCCTTATGTGCTTAGATATGGAAGAGACTTACAACTTTTATATGCCATAAAGTCTGTGGTAGCCTCAATGTTTAATGTTGTATGCTTCCTCACAAATATTACAAAGATGATTTTAGCTTCCAACAGTCCTTCTCAAACCAGAAAAGGGCAAGGAAGGTCATGTTGCTCAAATATGGGCTAGACAATAGCTGAATTGTTGAAATATTTGGGGAAATTCTTTCTGATAAATATCAGAGTTTCCAAATATCCTAGGATGGAAAGGTAGCGGATGTTATAATTTGAGAGCCCTTTGGTCTTTCTGAGCATTAACCCACTGATAGAATTGGAGCCCCCCCCCCATCCAACAGAGTTACAAATGGCTCAACAGCAAGCATAGCCTTTTAAATCTAGTATTACTGAAGGCTAATGATAATATCTATTTCAGATCGTATCTGGTATGTACTTGGTAAATATGTTGTATTAACTGAGTGGTAAGTGAAGAAAAGATACTTATTTTCTACACTGTTCTAAGAAAGTCTTACTGAGAATACGTAGCAGGGTCTATTGAAAGATGAGTTTTTCTGTTTGTTTGTTTTGGTCTTTGGTGCTGGGTATTGAGCTCAGGGCCTCGAGAATATTAAGCATGCCCTACTCTGTAACTGAACAACACCCCCTGCCCTGTTTTCTTTATTAAAAAATTCTTTTTTTTCCCAATGTTTCAGGCTAATATCTTTATGTTTTCAAAGAATATTATGGCACTGTCAAATTTCTAGGAGATTCGAAACATTCTCAATATCTATACTTATGTTCATAGAGTGCACAGAGGCTGTTCAATTTATGGACTGACATCAGTATGCAGAATAAACTTTGAGAATCTCAATTCTAAACAACATTCCCTAATTTTGTATGGCAGAAAAGCAATACCTGATGGTTGAATAAATTTGGAAAATGTGCATAACTTCTTACTCTGATAGCCTGATATATACTGTTCATCTCTAAAAGTTGGAAACAATAAATTGTATTTTAAGAAATTTTTGTAGACTACCATAAATTGCTTATATTATTTAAATATACATAAAGAAGTATTTGTCTAAATGTAGTAGTAGTAAATTATAGTAGTAGTAAGTTATAAATGTCAGTAGATGCTGATTCCAATATATATATTCAGTTAACAGTTAACTCCTTATATATAAAAAGCTTGTTTTGAAAGAAGAATTGGGTATTTGGTCAAAAGTGATGGGGCTGGGTACTGTGCCTTTTTAACCCCAGCTACTCCAGAGGCTATGGCAGGAGGATCACGAGTTCAAGGCCTGTCTCAGTAACTGAACAAATGGTATCACAGAATTCAAATGGTTGGAGATATAGCTCAGGCATAGTGTGCTTTCCTAGCATGGACAAGAACACAGGTTCAACCCCTATTATTAAAAAAAAAAAAAAAAAAAATGAAGGTCAGGGATTTAGCTCAGTGGCGCCACACCTGCCTCACAAGTGCAAGGTCCTGGGTTTGATCCCTGGTACCACAAAAAACAAAAACAAAAGTCTGAGCCCTGTCTGCTCAGTTATGGCCTTCTGTGAGAAGCACTCACTAACAATACCATTGACTATTTCAACTGTTTTCTGGATATTATTCATTTCTTTGTTTCTTTTTGTTTTTTTTTTAATGGAATGTGCTGAATGTCAATAATTTTGTTCAGATGACTGCAGAACCTGGAAAAGCTGTTGCTGCTATCGATGCATTACATACTGCTATTATTAGTCTTTTTATATAAAAATATATATAT